AGACTTAAAACACCTTCAGAGCATTTTTTCTCACCAAGGATTGTCATGCATTTTCACTGGTTTTGGGGCGACCTGCAGTGGGCTAATTGCAATCCCTGAGAAAGTGTCACCTGATGCTGTCTGCATGCACCTGTGAGCTCCCTTACCTGAGTGGAGAGGGGGCCATCACTGCTGGGCATCCTGAGCATGTGGCCTCCTGGGAGGTGCTGTGAAGGCCTAGAGGAGTGAGCCTGGGGGCAGCTCCTCCTGGGGGAGTTCTTACCTGGGGGGGATTGAAAGGGCAGAGGAACTCTTCTGAAAGGGAGCCCATCACAAACGCCATTTTCCACCTCACTATTTTCCAGTCGAGGGCAGTGTCCAAGGGGCACGGCTGCTGTGTCATTGGTGGCAGTAGATCATTGGTCTGGATGGGGGAGAGGGACATACGAGGCTAGGTAAAATCTGCACTTAGGGGGGAAGTACCATACTCTTCAAGGCTCACCTGGAAAACAGAGTTAACCATATGCTGGCTTTTCTGGGTTGTGAGAATTAAATGCAATGATGCAAGTCAAGTGCTTGGCACTCTGCCTGCTACAGAGTGAGACCTTAATAGACATCAGCAACAATCCTTATCATTATCATTGTCCTTCACATTAGGAAGACCTTGAAACATAGTCAGTATCCAAAGGGGAAATATGCTTTTGAAGGGAGAGAGCGGGATAGAAACATCAATGAGAGTGTCATCAACCGGCTGCCTCCTGCATGCCCCCTGCTGGGGATCAAGCCCACAACCCAGGCATGTGCCCTGACCGGGAATCGAACCTCAGTCTCCTGGATCCTAGGTCGATGCTCAACCGCTGAGCCATGCCTGGCTGGGCTGAAGGCTTTCAATTTTTTACTAAATAATTTTCCAAAAAAAATAATTACATTGTGGGTGCTGGCCACGTCTAATGAAACTGCATGGGGTGAGGAGGTGCGGGCCCTGGCCAGGTGCGGAGTCAGGTTATTCGTCACCCGGGGTCTTCTTTTTCATCATTTACTGTGTTTCCTTCTAGTACTGCTAATTGTGTTTAATTATTTCTGGACTAAAAAGGATTAGAAGGAGGCTGGCTGTTTCAGTAAGTCAGACACGTTCCCGGGAATTCTGATCAGCCGCTGCGCGTTGTGGAGCGTCAGCTGTGTATCTGCCAAGTGGCTGGGACCTTTGCCATCTCGGTCCCCTGGCTTACTTCCTGCTTTGTCTCCCTTCGCCTGGCTCAGAGGAGATTTTGGTTCTGAGAAATCAAAGGGTGACTAAGGGAGGTAATCACTGGGTGTCCCACAATTTTTCTGATTGAAAAATACGGAACTCATGTGTATGTGTTCTAATGAGAGCACTAGAAAGTTTTAAAGACATTTTAAAGCCGTCCTCATTTAGGACTGCCTTTGGGAATGATGCATTCCTTTAAGACTGAATGACTCTGCCCTGGGCAGAGTTCTCAATTAGGGAGAATTAGGGAACCTTTTGGCAGCAATGGGCGGCCTGCATTTTGCCTGGTTTTTGTTTGGGGATTTTTTTCTAAGCTCAGTGAGGCTGAAGCTGGACAGTGTGATTTTTCAGGCCTCGCTTGTGATGCCTGACCCACTCCCAGGAGTGTGCGGGGTGTGCGTGCATCCTTACATGGGGTCTTCCTGCCTTCCCTGGCAGAAAAGGCAGCAAAGAATCATAAACACTAGAGAATGGCATTGTCAAGTTTACACTGGATTCTGGATTAAGACCCTCATTTTACAGCAGGTTTCTGCATAAACTTGAACCCTGTATGGAGTTTCCTGTGTGTAATCAGTGAGGGATCTCTGGTTGCAAGCAAAAGAAAAGCAACTGACTCTTTCAAGTGAGAGCATTCATTTAGCTCCTGGTTCAGGGGAGACCAGAGCATCTTCAGGGATCTAGCTCAGGGCCTGGCAATTTTGTTCTTCAAAGGGCCAGCTAGTAAACATTTTTATGTGTGTGGACCATACAGCCTCTGACACAACTAAGCAGCTCCTCCGTTGTAGCAGCACACAAGCAGGCACAGACAACAAACGAATGGGCATGACTGGGTTTCAATAAAACTTTATTTATAAAAACAGGTGGCAGGCCAGATTTTGCCCCAAGGCTGTGGTTTGTGGAACCCTGATCTGGACAGAGCAGTATCTAGAGGATAACTTCTTTGAGGAGTTTCTGTCTTAATGGATCCCTTTCACCTCTGAACCACCCTTGAGTTACTTGGGATTCAAATCCCCAGGAGAGCCTGATTGGCCCGGCTTGCCCCACTTGCTCACACCTTGACCAGGGAAGGGCAGGGCATCTTAATAGACAGGCCCAACGAGGTGGCATTGCCTGGGGAGGGAAGGTTCCTTACAGGGATTGGGCTGCCTGCTGTAGGGGAGCATATGAGGCAGGGAAGAAAAGCAGATGTCCACTACCTCTTGTTCCTCTTGTTCCATTTCCCCTTGTTTTGTCCAGTGGGGGTGATAAGAGCAGAGTTTTGTTCAAAGAAATGGCTACCTAGGAAAATATGTCACCTAAAGAGAATAGGAAAATTGTTGACAAAAGAGGTGCGGAGTGAAATTCCGCAACATAGGCATTTGATCGAGTACAGCACTTCATCTGTGTGTGGGAAGATAAAGACCCGAGCCGACCCTGGGTTCAGAACTGCAGTGCAGAAGCTTGGCTCCAGCTGAGCATTGTCTCCACCTTTTTGGTCAAATCCTCAGGAGGAAGCATCTGGTTGGTCAGTGGGCAGCCTGGATTAGTTGGCCTTGGATCGGATAGCATGTGGTTTATAGACCTACTGCTTCCAGAAGCTTTAATGGAACCAGGCAGTAAACCCTGTGACCAAGGCTGTGGGAGTTACAGGGACATGAGTTATGACACTGAGCCGTCCCTCAAGGAATTTATCATTTTGTTGGGCCATAACACTCACAGGAGACATAATAAAGGAATCATACAAGATTTTATTATGAAGGGAAAAATTCAAGGGCCAAAATATATATTCCAAATCTATTTATAATATGGAAGGGCCTCCCAAACATTTTAAATTCTGGTCCCCAAACAAAGCCAATTAAAATAATAGTTCTCTGTATTTTGTATTACGGACTAAGAAGCTGTTTCAAAACTAGAAAACAAATATTTTCAACTAGAGTAATTATACCAGAACTATCTGAGAATAGAGGTGGGATATTTTAAAACATTCAAAATTTACCTAAATCAAAAATTACCTAAATATTTTCTCAGACAGAATTCATACATCTATTTTCTTGCTCTATACATATTTTAAAATTAAACCCAATATATTTTTAAACCACTCAATTTGACAAGTGTAGGTAAGGAAATTGAACTGAGGTCTAGTGTAATAAGCAAAATATATTCACACCNTTGACAAGTGTAGGTAGGGAAATTGAACTGAGGTCTAATGTAATAAGCAAAATATATTCACACCGTTACATGGAAAAAACTGAGCAGCAAGCAGCAGTATTTGCAGGTATTTTGAAATAACACAGGTATGAGCTGAGGTTTGATAGAAAACACAAGTCAGCCATCAGAACCCGGAACTCAAAACATTATTGCAAAAGCATTTGCGATGATAACTCGTGGGAATTGCTTGGGACTAGGTGGTTATTATATAGGCAGAGTGTTAGGGGTCAGAGTGAAGGATGCTAGCAAACACACTGGGTTTCAAAAGATAACGAAGTTATGGAAAGAAAAACACACTCAAGATGTAGATAAACGAGAGCTATGAGAAGCTTGTGTGGGAAATGAGCTGCAATGCAAACATAATTCTATGAACAACCATGAGAGGGAGTGCTAGACTGAACCTCCATCCAGAGAGGCCCGTCCATATGGAATTCAGTGAAGTCCATTGGAAAATATAAATAAGAAGGAAAACAAACCTTGCTACCATCTGCCACTACAGTAGACCCTATTTTGGAGGGAGAGACAGGAACATTACCCAGGAGAAACTGATGTCTAGGTGGCGTTCCTATAAGTGACTGAGTTAATATGAAAGTTTAATTTCAACAACTGGCTGTCAGTTAAGCATGTAATTTGACTCTTGCGCTGAAAGGGAAGTCATACGTTGGTTCTAAATAAGCACTTGGAGTTTTGAAAAGAAAAGACTTTCTCAATAGGCTGTGGTGTCGGTCCACCCATGTACTTCTCAGGGACCTAGAGAAGATGAAGGAGGGCCATAAGTCGGGTTGCCGTGGAAATCAGGGCACACGGTCACTCCGTGGGCATTTACTGAATACCAGCATTTACCGAACACCGGCAGTAGACATTTATTGAACACCTACTCAAGGCCTAAAGCATGAAAGGAGAAGTCACACTTTGCCCCCGGGGTATTTATTTTAAGACTTGTACATAAACGGCCCAGAGAAGGAAAGTCCTGCTATGGCTTTCTGTCCACTGAGAACGATTTCTGCCGCGTTTGTCTCTGGCCTTTCCATCGGCTGGTCTTTGTGACCCTAAAATGGAAATCGAGGGGCGGGTGCACCTGTTGACTGATGCCCGCTGTGTTCAGTGTTCCAGCACCTGCGCTGGCGGGTCCCAGCGGCGCGTGGTCGTGTGTCAGGATGAGAACGGGCACACGGCGAGCGACTGCGTGGAGAGGATCAAACCGGATGAGCACAGAGCCTGCGAGTCCGGCCCTTGCCCTCGGTGGGCCTACGGGAACTGGGGAGAGGTGAGCGGAAAGTCCGGGTGCGTGCGCGCTTTGGAAGGAACAGAGTAAATCTGCTGACCGAACTGGGTTACTGTTCATAGTTTAATTGAAGGAAAGAGAGTTCGCTCCAGTTAAAGCTTCCTGATTTGGAATTAATGAGGAGACCTTTCTTAATGCAGGGCTACTTTAAAAGTGCATTTATGATCAATCATAGACAGCTCGATTACACCGGAGAGGGAAATTAGGAAAGAACGAAGCTAAACGCTAATTTAAATTGCTAACCTCCGCTGATTAAAAAATAGAGGCTCTTAAAGTGATCGAAAATATGTGTAGAATTAGTGGAAACGTTGCCGTCTTCGCCACAGTGTGGGGTGTTGTGATACACACTCATTCTCATGGTGCGATGTCTGCATCAGTTCATCCCCTGATGAAACCAGAATGAATAGGTGCTGTTTTTCCCATGCAAGGTGACTCGCCTTAAACAGGGAAGTGAACAGTTAGCTGTATATTCTCAAATAGTGGAGTTTTTCAGCTGTTATTTTAGACCTTTCTAAAGAGTTGCCTGCGATGATTGATAGAGCATCTAAGGCAGAGAAAACTGGGTACCATGCCCAGCCCTGCAACTCTGCCAGACACCTCCATTCTCCTCTATGACGGGACGGTAGTGGCATCAGCCCCGGAGTATTCACGGCTGTCCTTGGAGATGGTGCATGTCAAATGCCTAGCACACAGCCTTCGGTCAGAGTCAGCTGCTATGATAAAAATGATGATTACTAGGGATAATTATTATTATAATTAGCCTTACTAGCATTATCAAATGGGCTTTTGAGCCACTATTACATGTAGGGCTTATAGACTTACTGTTTTGTGTTTAACAAAAATATATCTCTCTACTCTTGAATCTACAGGGAGATCACATATTTAAAGCTTCTTGAGTTCTACCTTGACTGTAAAATTTATAAAATAAAACATGAGGATTAACATCTTGCAGACCCCATTGCCAAGAGGGGGAAAAGACAAATGAAATGGTCGGGCGCGTTAACGCTCACTCCCCGGCTAACTGAAATCGTGTGTCCGCATGTCACGGTTTCATACACGTAGCCCAGTAGTCACAGGCAGTCATAGTGGAGACTTCTGTTGACTTTCGTTGACAGTGCGTCATTCTTGGGCTTGGCTGAAAGGCAGGAAGGGGGAGTCAGGCTTGGAGAGTCGTGTATTAGGGTTTTCCCAAAACTCCTCAAAAAGCTTTGTCCTGAGGGACCCATGATTAAGCTTCTGTAATTGGACTGAAGCCAGGAGAGTACACGCATTCACAGGGATGCTTGCTGTCAGCATGGACCAGATCGTTCCAGATTCTGTGGGAGATCTGGCCTTGGCACAGCAGGGAAACCGAATGTCAGTGTTCCTGGATGTGAGCTCAGCAGTCGTGTCCAAGAAATACAACTTGTTCCTGCCTCAGAATTTCGGATTTAGCCAGGAGTCAGAAGTTGATCCAACATTCCCATCACTGTTTATTCATCCTCGGGGAAAGTCATAGTTGTTCTAAGTTTTGAAGATAACGTAAAATATTTTGACATCATAAATGTCTATGGAGATTGGCATCACAGAACAGCCAAAGGTTGGCGACAGCTTCTTAGAAGTTGCCAGGAAATAAAACTAGCTAAGTCATTATTTCCTGTATGTGGTACTGGGTGGTGTTTTGGATAGTTGATTTTTGGTTTTGTATAATGGAACTTAATTCTAAACACTTGCTATTAAGCTGACCTGGATCAAGTTAATTAACCTCTTTTAAGCTTAGTTGCCCCATATATAAAATAGGGCAAGTGATTATCCTGTCCTCCTGATGAGATGATGTCTAGTAGAGCACCTAGTGCGGGTGAAGAGGAAGCACTCAGTAGACAGCACCTCCCACTGGTGAAGAGGAAGCACTCAGTAGACAGCACCTACCACTGGTGAAGAGGAAGCACTCAGTAAACAGCACCTACCATTGAGGCAGAGAGCGCCAGTCTGCTGTAGATACTGCTCTGGCTAATTCAGTGTGGTTCTCTCTAGAGGCTTACCTCTCCCTGTGCCATAATAGAGCTTGGCTAAGAAATATTTCTTATGGGAAAGGAAAATTTGCCGTTGGCTATTTGAAATAACGGAGCCTTCCTTTCCCTTTGTGCAGTGTTCTAAGCTATGCGGTGGAGGCTTGCGAACCAGACTGGTGGCCTGTCAGCGGCCCAGCGGCGAGCGGTTCCCAGACCTGAGCTGTGAGATTCTCGACAAGCCTCTGGACCGTGAGCAGTGCAACACGCACGCTTGTCCTCAGGACGCCGCATGGAGCGCTGGCCCTTGGAGTTCGGTACGGCCCTAACTATTCATGTTTGTTAGCCAAACTGTCTAGCTGCTATCCCCAATTCCGAAGTATTCTGGGGCACTCCGTTGTGACAGACAGTTGTCATGCTCACAAGGGCTTTCCTGAAACTGCCATAAGCGGTGTGTTCTTTTCCTCACATTGATCTACCGCAGCATTAATGTTTTGTGATGTTGCCAAAGTGACTTTACAGAAAACGCGTACCTCATGCAGACCTGGTGCCAACGCCAGGAAGCAACTTCCTTTCCTAGGGGAACTAGACTATATATATTTGGATTTTTTTTTTAAAGAAACTAAATAACTTAATGTAGTGATTCAGCTCCAAAGTGATTTAAGCAGACAACTCAATAGCAGGCTTACTTTCCTTTCCTTAGCTATGGCTGTTTTGACTTTGGGGAAGGTACCTACTTATTGAGGCCAAAGCAATGTTTTCTTCAGTGACTCAGGTACAACTCTCAACACAATCACCTCAAAGGTTGTACCCGTAAAATAGACTGAAATCATTTGGAAAATGCAAAAGACCAGCAGTGGACTCAGTGACCTGGTGCTTGTCCCTTGTCTGAAATGTTCTTTCTTCCACAAAGACACAACACCCATTTGAGACCACTTTTTGCTTCAGACCTAGGCTTCCTTTGCTGTCTGCTTAGCTGACATTGTGAGACCGGTTTCCCTCTCTCACCACTATGCAAACGTCCGGGCAGCTCTTGCGAACCGAAGGGTCAGCTGTGTCAAAACAACACTCTAAGTTGTACCATAACTTGCGGAGCCATTAGAGCTGTTTCAAGGAAATGTACTAAACATTCTTTTAAACACATTAATTGCACTGAAGCTGAAATGACATTATGTTAAGTCATATCCAGAATTTTTTTATATGGTTCTAGGAAAAGTCTTAACCACTCCTGGAACCAGCTAAAGAGCAGATTAACTGACGTGACATGGCTCATACTTGCTGATGCTTCCAACAGGCAAGGTTTCAACGCCTCAGGTTGTGTCTGCAGGTGGAACACTAACGATATCCGTTGTACTTCTCATTAAGTAGAAACCTAGAGGAATTCAGAGTATCGTCTCTCCTGGGACTGTTGAGCTGGGCTGTAAGGATTTTCCTCAAGAGCTTAGAAAGTGCCAGAGTCAGACGGACAGCTCACCTGGAGCATCTTGCCCGCAGTATTGGCACCACCCAAAGCAAACACTTTGGAAAAGATCAGAAATGACCTTAGTGTGTCAGGAACATCCTCTGACATTCTTAACCTCCTTATGTCACCATTACACATGATTCTTCATGAAATTTTCCCTCTTGGGCCCCTTACATTTTCACGCTGTTCACTCAGCCAACCACAGCACCACAGCCAAAGTATGTTTCAAAAAGTCTGCTAGCTCTCTCAAAAGCTGCATTTCTTTAATTTGACCAAAAAAATTTCCTAACCCTCAGAGGGGGTGTGTGTATCTGTGTATATACATAATATGATACAATAAGATAATACATGTTGTATATTGTATACTATATATTCAGGGTGGGGCAAAAGAAGGTTTACAGTTGTTCATATGGAAAATAATACCATAATTAGCAAGAATAAACTTTGTTTCGCATACTCACACTGTAAACCTCCTTTTGCCTCACTCTGTATATATACAATTTATGTCATATACAATATATAATATATATTGGTTTCCATAGCATTCTCTTCTTTGAATCCTTTCTAAATACAGATCAAATTTTTCACACAGGATCACCACCCTCTCTCACAGATATTTTAAGGGCTTAAATTTTAAAATATGATCTGCTATTTAATTTAAGATTTTATTTTTTTTTACTATAGTTCTTCTTCTTGGGCTTGCACAGTTTTCTCCAAAACACACAGAGAGAAAAAGATAGAGATTTTAATCCTGTTAGGCACAGAAGCAAATACATGGATTTAGAAAACATTTTTGCTACCTCTAATTTTAATGCTTCCTTTGTAAAGTGATAGTTATTCAAATATAAATTTAAATACCTCTGCAGCCTAGGAGCAAGGCCACTGCTGCAAGGCTTTGAACTATGATTTTTAAAAAAACTTAAATCCAAAGCATTTTATTTAAATAGATACATTTGTAATATATTACTCAAATATACGTGTGTGAGGGCAGTCTTTTGGATTCTTGCGGTGGGATTTTGATTTTATTTCTGTGTTGATTTTTGTGGATGCTTCGGTACCATTTCATAGTAATTCTAAATTTAAACATACCTCAGTGAATTGTGTTAATAGCTATGAAGCTACTTCTGTGGTGCTTCATCATTGTCACTACAGTGAAATGAACAACAACAAAAAGCACATTTGAGGTGCTATCATTGTTGCTTTTGACAGAAAGCAAAGTAGCTTATTAGAGACCAAGGCTAACAATTAGTCCTTCGGCCGCTTGCCTTCTGTCCCCAAGCCGAAGGCAGTGTCAAGAAACGACTGCCACTAACTGAGTAGACCTTTCCAAGGTCAAAATGGAGATAGCTTAGCTCAACAGTTGTTACTAAGGAGCAATATTTAGGAAAGAAACTGCAAATCACTGTTAGCACGGCTTCTACCCTCTAAACTGAAGCTCCTGTTATCCTGGGTTCAAGTACCTCTTTTAGACCCTTAGTTCTACCTCCGGTCACTGTGGATTTAGAGTCATGGTTATAAGAAAATCCTCCAGACGTTCAGCCTTTGCTGTCTTCTTTCCCATGGTCTCTGCACCCTTAGTTGTACTGTTTTACTTTTGAAATTAGGTTATTTCACTGATCAAGCCTTTCCGTGGGCTCCTGCGGCTGGCCCAGGAGCTGACTGCAACGAACTCCTCACCCCCTGACTAGAGGGGTGCGTTAGAAAGAGAGCTCTGTACTGTCACATGAGCCCAAAGTAGGTTACAAAGCTGCAGCCTTCTAGAGTAAGCTGATTCCTCAAGTTAGGGAAAGAAAGACAAGAGGCTAGGTGAGGGATGTCGCCCCTCCAAGCAGGCCCCGTTGCATCCCCCTGTCGCATGGCTCAGCGTATCTGCCAGCTGATGGTCTTGCAGACTGGGCCTGCTTCCGAGAAATTGCTCATTTGTGTTTTCCGTGACAAACCTAAAAGTATTCTCTGAGCCAGGGAATTCGGAATAATGCTTGCCGACCCGAACAGTGAGAATTTATGATTTCACGCAGGAACTGTGCTTTTGTTTCTGCCTGGCCAACTTATCAATTTTATCTACCTCATTTTCATATTAAAGTTTGCAGCTCCTATAGGTAGAAAGAGGAAGCATTTAGCATCAGCTATTTTATCACCTCACTGAATCTCTCTAGCAAAAAATAAAGATTGTAAACATCACTACCGTATTTTCTGAATACAGCTTTAAGCAGCCAAGCCTAGTATTATCTGAATATTTGGAGCAGTACAGATTTCTATGTGTTTATATAATAAAGTATAATTTATTTTTCCATGTTATTTAATTTTATATACAATGTTTAAAAATTGGTGTTTATCAGCAGACTGTAAAGTCAAATAGGCTATGTGAATTAGAAATGCATTTGTATGTTTCTTTTGGTTTTAAAAGGACACATTTTAATTTTGTATATCCCCTCTATCCTGTTCCATTCCTCTCCAAATCTGAGTAGCCAAATGGCAAGCTTATGTAATTCCACAGTTTAAAATGTGTATTCTAAAGGGATACTTTAAAAAATATTTTTTAGTTGGAAATGATGCTTAGTGATATAAACAAAAATATAAGAGGCTTAACATTTGTTGGGTTTTTTTTTCTTTTCCTAATACTGTGGTCCTGATTCACTGAGTCTGAACTATGAAATATGAATGCTCCACCTATTGAATTTATATATAATGATCCAACATAGCTAGAAGTCAAAACTCGTGACTAGAACGAGTGGTTCTGCACATGTAAGAGGAGCTGGGATAGGAAACAGCTCACCTAAAGTCTATAAGTTCATCATCCCTTGTTCTTTGGGTTCAGGTCATTGTATAACACCTCAACCTTTGTCAATTCTGGTATTTGATAGCCTGCAATACATTTCAGAAAACATTTCTTATGAAAGAAAAATACAGAAAATACTGTAACAATAAGCTTGGAAGTTTTAAGAGAGCCTGCACTTTTTAAAAAATTATAAATCGTCAAGGTGAGCCCAGTCATCTACTGGCTCCACATTCCCCTACTGAGCCTCCAGTTTTCATTTTAATTTATTATGGTAATTGAGGGTGAAAGGACCAAAATAAAGGAGTCCCTTTATGAGTTTGACATTTTTATAAGGTGCTGAACAAGGCAAAAAGAATAACCTTATAACTTTTTAAGGTGAAACTAATAACTCTTGAAAGCAGATGCTCATAGCTAACATCTACTAAGTATTGACTATGTACCAAGCCAAGCTAAGCAAATGCGCATCACCTTTAGCCCCCACGTTACCCTGTGACCGAGGTGTTCTTAATGGCCTCGTTGACTACGTGATCATCTACTTTAGTGGTAAGACTTCAGTGTCCGTGTACTCACTGAATTAATCCTGCTTATTCTGAGAGAAAACAAACAGCCCATGTTCATAATGAAATTTTTAAACTGTTCATATTCAATAAGGGATATGCGAACACTTAAACTCCATCTAACCTCAACACGATTGAGCTAGCGTTGGCTGTCCATGTCACTCCAATGACAGAAAAGCCCAGTTTAGTCCTGTTCTTGGTAAATTCCCTTAACCAGCAGTTATGAACACTTGAAAAAACTGGTTGTGTTTAGGAAATGGCAAAGCACACCTCTCCTTCATGTTACAGAAATCATGCCACATTAGGAGGAGGTATAACGATTTGGCCATAAGGAATATCACATTAAATGCATATGCACTGTTTATATAACTATGAGATTTTTTAACCAACAAAGACACATCTTAAATGTACTGCTTAGTGCCTTTTAAAAAAAAATAAGAAACACATTATTTGGCTTATCAATATAAAGTATAAAAATAAGATGGTTTTTGAAACCGAAAGAGTACAACACATGAAATT